AGTTATGGGCCTTTGGAGAACATTCAAGATACAAATTATAGCAGGTATCAATAAGCTTAACAGTAAAAGTTGAATCATGTTAACAGCAGCCTTAAGAGAAAGAGAGTTGCTATAATGTTCCCATAACGGGAACCAGAGTTACCAAAGATAAAGAGGGATGTTTATCATGATCACAAGTAAGTCATTTAGGAAACTACAGTAGCTAAAATGTACAGACACCTAACAACAGATTCCCAAAATACATGTAACAAAACCTGAAAGAAACTACCCAGAGAAACAGAAATTCAGTAACAACAGTTGGGAGATTTCTTCCAGTAATGGATACAACTGAGCAGGATAACTGCAAGGAAATAAAAGACTAGAGCAACCCCATAAAACAGCTTGGCCTGAAGACATCCTCCAGCAGACACACAGTGCTCTCAGTCCTGCTAGGGACACTCCAGCATAGAGCGAGTCCTAAGCCACACAACAAGCTTCAAGAACTTGGTGGGACTTAGATGAATGGAACGTGTAGCTTCACATCTTCTCTGACATCTAGTTATTGTATATGAGCATTCACTGAACTTTTTTTTTCTTTTTTCTGTTGCCCTTCTATTATTGTTTGAAAGCAAAGTATTTGCACTTGCCTGCGGGAGCACCCTGTGCTAAGACAGAACCAAATGAGCTTGAGACGGGCACAGATAAGATACATCCTCACTAAGAACACCTTTATTTTGTATAACTTTCTTTTCTTTTTATTCATTTTCTTTTTTATTCTCTGGGAACTCAGAACACTGGAATTTAATATTTATTTTGACCCAGTCCTCCTATGAACTACACTGCTAGTTCTAAGTTAGGCCTCTGTGTAAGGGGAGGTAAAATTTAGGATGAAAAAAAAAAAGAAACAAAAAAACAAACAAATCTATGAAGTCTAAAAGTGTGTGTACTTGACACTCTACCAGTTCAGATGAAACATATGAACCTGTGAAGACGCTGCTTCAGTGGCCCTGTGATGCACTGTGGTTGGCACAGGGCTGAGCTCAGCTGAGGATGTGTGCACCAGCTGCAGGCGCCTGGGGAGCGCTGTGGGCTGCAGCACAGAAATAAGAGGCTGAGTCTATGAGGCTGGAAAAGGAGATGGACAGTGAGCTGTGGTCTTCTTTAGGTACTTTTGTGGCCTTTAGTCTTCTACTCTGCTTTGTCCCTGAAGAAATGTAAAACAGGTTGACCAGGTGTCCTCCAGGATCTTGGCGAAACCACTGCACAGTGCTCACTGTGTTAGAAAAATTGCATGACAGAGTGGACCCAGTTCCTTCCTGGAGTATCTGGGCTGGAGGACTCTGCTTCACCTGCATCCCTCTGACACCTGAGTAGGAATGGAGAAATGGTCACAGGTGATGTCACTTCAGTGTGTACACAGCCCTGATAATGCCCCCATGGATCATGATGGGGAGGACAGTCTGCAAGATTTGTGAGCTCCTAGCCTAACCCCTCCACTGCACCTGCAAAAGTGCTTTAAATTCCCCAAATTTGAAACAGTTCAACTCACAGAGCTGGGTGCACAGAAACCCCAGCAGAGAGCTCAAGATCCTCTTCATGATCCTTCTTGGCCTAGGTGCATCAGTCAGATGCACATAGTCAACTCAGGGTCACTGCTGTCAGTTCCTGGTTCTGGAACTGCTCCTGCAGCCAACTGGCTCCACTAAAGAACTTGCTCAGGCCCAGACACTGAGTCTTCCACAGCTCTGTGCAGGAAGCCTCTCCTGTACTCAAACCTTTGAGAATCTGGGTGGAGCTTGGTGGGGAGAGAGGACAGAGACAAATATAATTAGAGGAACATTTTCTTGCAATCCCTGAGCTGTGAGGAGTGTGAGGGTGCATGTGAGCAGGAAGGGGAGGCACTTCTGCAAAGGAGAACAGCTCAACCACATTAATGCGTCTGGGGATCATCACAGAAAGGACATGTATGTACGTGTATTGAAACCCAGAAAAGAAATGTGTGTTCTAATGAGTTCTTATTAACCTCTAAATTAATTTACTTGAGAATCACTCCAGGCATACTAAGTAAAAAAGTTGTAACACCTCTAATACTGTAACACATAATACTGCCTTCTTATTGGACTTTGTAGATTGGGATTCTTCCGGAATAACCAAGAGTTGTGGTAAACATTATTGTAATGAATTACAACTTGAGGAGATGGAGGGTGAGGGAGAGTTTAACCAGTGTGTACTAAATTACACTTAGGAGCAAGAAGTTCAAGAGTACTGTTGCACATTAGGGTGACTAAAAATAATGATAATGCACTGTAATCTTCACAAGACTGGAGTAAGGAGTGTAAAATTTAACACCCTAAGGAAATAATAAATGTTTAGCCACACATGGTGACCCGTGCCTACAAACCCTGCTACTCAAGAAGCTGAGAAGGGCAGATATTTAAGCCAGAGTTCCAGGGTACCAAGACCTCAGATCAAATAAATAATTTTTTAAATTATAAAAGTTTAAGAAGATGCTTCTTGCCTAATTTAAAAATCAAAGAATATATGCATCTAAATATCATATAATCTATTAATATCGATAATTTTATATGTATGTATTATTTAAGAATAACTACAGGCTATGTAAAACAAGCGATAGTAGCAAAATCCTTAATTGTGAGGACAAACATAGTTTCAATTCAGACAAGAGTTACATATTACCTTGTTTGGGAGATGGGGCTTTTTTTTTTCCTGATTCTTATAGTAACTGCCTGTGTCTCATGCTTGCATTTGATAAAGCCCCTCTGTTCATTATGATTAATTTTCCCCCCTTCCATTTTGTCTTCTCATTGTATCTCTGTCTTTAACTTGTCCCCTTTCTTCTTACCTTCTCTTTCTTCTAGCTACCAGAAAAAGGCAAAAAATATTAAAGAAATGATAGCATTAAATGGTTCTGATATCATTTGGAATATGTAAAATAAAACTCAGATTTTCCTCTGGTATATAAAATCTAAGCAAGAATTTGTTTTAGAAATCTGCTTCCTCTTCTCTGGAATTTTCAGCCTTGCTTTTTCTGTATATGTTTCTCTGCTCCAGGAGTTTATGTGAGATACAGGTAGTGATGCACATAGAAGTCATGATAACAATGTATGTAGATATGTGCGAGATGGTCGTTAAGGACTTAGGAAAGTGTCCATATTATGGTGTCATCAGCTCACATTTACACAGCAGAGCTGTCCACTGAAAGGCTTAATTAGCAAAAGAGACTGTAGGTGCCAATAAGGATTCATTTGTCCTCATACACAATAACCTCCCGTTTTACCAATTTCTACCTCTTGTGCTCAGATCACTCCTCACTAAACTGTAGGGGAAGGAAGGAAGGTGTTTGTGTGTCCATTCCATTGGATGGAAAGTCATTTCCAGATTGGGTAACAGCGCCCTCTAGGGGCCCAAGTGAGCGCCAAGGAGAAGCTCTGGAGGTGTTGAACTTTCCTCACTTCCTTCCAGCCTTTCCAGGGTTGAAATTCAAGCTTTAGAATCACACAGAGGGAGGGTTTATGGTTTTGTAAGCCCCAAAACTTAAAACTGTGCTTTGAAAAGATAAAAATATGAATTAAAATGACACCAAGAAATTTTAGAATAAAACTGAAATTACTTTGAGGTGGGAGCCTGGGAGATCCAGTCCTCAGGACTGAACTCCTACAGTAGAGAACAGGGAGGGTAGGGAGAAGCAGGAGTTTGGGTAAAAGGGAAAACCCAAGAGTGACCCGAAGAGGGCCCAATGAGGGCTCGGCCCCAGTTTTCTCGTTCCTGTCCCGGTGACCGCATCTACAGCACACAGAGCCATTGAGGTCATGAAGGCAGTGAATGGTGAGGCCCCAGACAGACGCCCGGGTTTCCTACAGAAACTGAGAATTCATCAGAGGTCTGAAGTCTGCTGAGTTCCAAGTGATAGGAAATCATTGGTCTATCTAGGGCTGTTACAGCTCAACTTCAGAAATGGGAAATAAGACATTTCGTTTGCCTTTCTAGCTGGTAACCCAGCTTATACCTTTTCAGCCCTTTACAACACACAGAGGAAGAGAAGTCTTTCTGTGAGCGGCATCCGTGGTATTCACATGTCACTGGCTTTACAGAGGAATATGTAAGCATACTGGTGTACTTTAAGATAATACTTGCTTAAAGGAATTATTTGGCCAAAATCCTGGACTCTTTTCTACTATTTAAGATGCATTATCAGAGAATGAAAGCCCAACCTCAGGTGAGCAGCCCCACCATGTGATTGGGGCCTTAAGGCTACGGTGATAGCAGAGGACACTTCACATGAAGAGGGAGGACTCACTGGACACGGCCTTTCCTGACCAGGCTGCCTCCCGTCTCTTCTGTAGTCTTATGAGGGCCTGGCAGGGAACTGTGCCCACTGCTTGGTCTTGAGGGTCCTCTAAAGTCATTCTTCCTGAGCAGCTGCATGAAGCACAGGCTGGTGTGGGGCTGTGTGGGATATCCTGCAGCAGGGGTTAAGGACCAGCGGAGCCTCACTTAGTTGTGGAGAACGATGCAGAATAATAAAACAGATTCAGTTTTCTTTGCAGAGGGTTTCCAAAAGGCAGAAAACCACACATGTTCTAGTTGCAGAAAAATCACTAAGGGAATTGGATGTGAGTAAACAGAAGTGTTTGCATGAAGAACCTAATATTCCAGGAGATTTTAAATAGCAGCTAAAATGCTGGTAGAGAAAAATTGCTCATCAGCATTTTCAGGAAATGCCAGCAGTGAGAGGGTCCTGAATCTGAAAGAGAAAGAAACCTTTCAGGCCGAGCACGGGTACTTCCAGGCAGCGAAACTGTTCTCTTTAATTTTACTTCCATCCCTTCCTACATCAGCATAGCTCATGACCTCTGAGGGTTCTTGGAATTTGACCTGAGATGGGCTCATCATGTTCCTGCGGAAACTGAGTGAACACTCTCACAGAAGGGAGGGACACAGCCATCCCCTGTCAGGGCTTCTCCCCTCAGCCTCCAGCCCCCTCGTGGTTTTTGCTGTGCTCCCCCTGCAGCTCTCCTCACTGTGTCCCCAGGGCGCAGTAGTACGTGGCAGAGTCTGACAGCTGGAGGGAGGGTTTCTGCAGGGGGAAGGAGCGCTGACTCTTGGCCAGAGTGGCCTGAAAACCTCGGTTCTCTGCCGGCTGGTTTTCTGTGGCGCTCCTGAGGAGGAGCCGAGGAGCTGTGCTGGAATACTGCACATACCAGTAAAGGAAAGTAACCGAGTAAGTAGTCTGGTAAGTGCAGTTCAGGGTCAGCTGGGACCTCTCTGGGAGAATGACCGGGCCTTCTGTCTGGGTCACTGAGTCTCCATAGCTCCGCTCTAAAGAAACAGAAAAATATTCTGTTATATAGAGAAGAAAGCTAAAATTGTTGTAATTGTAGGAAACTGAAATATTAGTACTTAAGAAAAAAATGTTACTTACTAGATGTTAAGAGTATCACAAGAAGAGAGCAGATGACAGAAAGCATGTTAATAGAAGGAAAGGATCCTTGATGTTTGTGATATAATCCAAACACCTCACTAGAAGAAACCTGAGCTTTGTTCTGCACAACAGCAGCCTATCTGGTTACTACAAACCTATTAGATCTGTTGAAGGAACGCCACTCTGCAAACCTGGACCACACATGAAGAAGTATCGCCATCTACTGGTAGTTCTCAAACTTGCACTCTACCTCTGACCTTGTTTTAAATACATATGATGCCTTTGTCCTCCCTCGCCCTTGGCCACAGAAGATCTGCTCCAAGACCCCCACAGTGTGCCTGAAATCTCCTGCAGCACTGAATACTAAGCGGACCACCGTTCCCTACACACACATGTATAATGACGTTTGCACATACAGTGAGCACAGTGCTTTCTGATGCAACACGTTGCTGACAACTGAAACACCTTTGGGTTCATGTCTCCTACTCACAAGTACTGTGGCTTTTATATCCTAACTAAGCACTTATCATGCACTGGGGCTGTAACTTTTGTCCAATTCCAGGTGTGGTAGAAAAAGTGACAAAAAGAAGGAGGACTAAAGTGTGGGTGCCTGTATACCACGAATATGCTGGATACAGGGATGGCTCTCTTGCTGGAAGAATGGAGCTCAGCCATGCAAGATTTCATCGCACTGCTCAGATGGTTTATCTGAAATTCATGGATTTTTCATGTCTGTTATTTTCCATTTACTACTTTCAGATGACAGGGGCGAGGATGTAACAAAAACAAAGAAAAAATTAAGTATCAGGCACTGTTACAAAATGGCTTGTGAGAAAGTTTGATAAAAACCATAAATATCCCTGTAAGAAGAAACCACAATGGATTCGCTTTGTACAACCACAACTGTATTTGGACGACATTTAATTACTGCTACTTCCAGTGCACTCTCATGGTGTAGAGATCTTCCCCCAAATAACCCCAGCCACGGCTTCTATGTGGACTATTCTACGGTCCTTGATTCCTATGGTTAAAGAAGGACATCTCTGTGTAGAAAACCCTCGCTCCTCTCCATCAGAACATCACCTAATTATCCCTGTCCCTCTCTGAGTCCCAAGCACCAGGCCGCCTACATCATCCAGTTCAGTGCTTGCCAGAAAATTGCTCTGAAGGACCATGATTTCTCACTGGCTTGTGCATTTGTGAAATACAATGGAATAAATTATTCTGGCTATAGCAACTGACCTTAAATTTTAGTTTTAATCTTTGCCTGGTTTACATACCTGTGGAGGAAACTGTCTGAGGGAAAGAAAAAGTGATAGCCTGAATAATTTCCTGAGCTCATACAGGGCCAGGCACAGCAACCAACATTAAACAGACCTTGTAGCACGTGAGCAGACACCAGAATCATCCAGAAAGTGATGTGTTAACAGTGGGCTAAAGAAGTCCTGTGGTGTAGGCTGTCAGGTAGAAGGTGGGCAAGTTCCTAAACAGACTAGGAGGAACCTTGGAGGGGTGGAGTACAAGTCAGACGGCCTCCTTTCTGGACACCAAAGGCCTGGCAGCAGGTAGCAGTGTCCATGCTTTCTGTCGGGTTCACCTGGCCAAAACTTGTGTGAAAACCCCTGAACTAGAACATGTGTGGTTTTCTGCCTTTTGGAAACCCTCTGCTCAATAATGGGCGGGGGGGACTCTCCTTTTTATTCTTCTGAATAAATGTGCAGTTCAGAACAAATGTGCATGTGTCCCACAAAACAAGTCTCTATCCAATGACATAACATTCATAGATGTAGCATCATCAGAATTGTCAGACATATGAACAAGCAGATAAATATCATCTATAGCCAAGAGGAAACAAAACAGTAGAAAGGGATCAAGAAATTACACAGATGATAGGATTATCATTATGAACAGAAATAATTATAAATCATTAAAATTATGCATAAAATATATTAAATCTCCAAAGAACTGTAGGGACATGAAGAGTAGAAAAAGACACAAGAGTCAAATAGAACTTCTAGAGATGAGAATAAATTAGGTAGGATTAGTATCAGATGAGAAAATGTAAGAAAAATCTCAGCAGACTTGAAGAACAATAGAAATGGTTCAAACTGAAGAAAGACAAAGTAAGTTGAAAGGAACAGTCCCTGAGCTGTGGGGCAAACCCAAGAAATCTAATGTGCATGTGATAGAAACTTCAGAAGAATACAGAAGGAAAGATAGTTAAATAAGGACCGAGAAAATCAAGGCTTAACTATAAACCTACCAGTATGGGACAAATGGAAAGACATCTGCTCCACGGCTCACTGTAACTGCCTTAGTCCATTTTGTGTTATGCTAAAATTCCTGAAGCAAAGTACATTTTAAGGAAAAGATAATTATTTGGCCCATCATTTAGGAGGCTGGAAAGTGTACACAGCATGGTGCATCTGAAATTTATGGGCCCTTCTCAAATGACGATGTGATGCAGGACAGGGTTCACTGTCCTTTAAATAACTTTCTCTGTGTCTCTGTTTGAATGGTTTCTGTTTACTCACATCCAATTCCCTTAGTGATTTTCCCAGTGCTCTGTGTGCTCTCACACTCACACATAATGTTCTGTTGGTTCATATTGTGGATTTTTAAGTCTAGAGTTTCTTTTCATAATGTTTTCATATTTCTCTTCATATTCCTACATCTTTTCCTTTTTTATAATATTGGTTTCCTGCATGTCCCTTAACTTATTTGATATAAGTATTTACAATCCCATATTTGATAATTCCAACATTTCGGCGTTCTATGAGTCTGTTTTTATTAACCTTTATCTCCATTGGTTCAGGTTCCTGTCTCTCCACATGTATCATGTTCAGGTACAAAGTCCCCATCATATATTTGATTATTATGCGTATATAAATTATACCATTAAACTTAATTAAATTGCTAAAAGCAAAAATCCTTGTTATAGGGAGATGATTTCATTTCTAATAAGCACCTAAGAGTAGAATATCCCTTTTTACTTTAAAGAGAAAAAAATAATAATAAGAAAAAAAACAGCGTTTAAAAACAGGTTATTAAGAGAGTTACCAAAATTAATACATTGTGTATTGTATCTTCATAGTAGTTATTCACATTATAAGATACAAGCATGCTATCTTGTCCAAACAATATTAGTGCACATCTTCTTTTTCAGTGACCTAAGAGAATAGTTGTATAAATGTCTTAACTATCTTATGTGTAAAGATAACTTTCTCTTTCTTATTCCCCTTTTCACTATTACAGTTTGTCTTTTCTTTTGAATAGTTTCCTCCCAATTCACAATATCTGTTGTACATTTTGAAACTTATTTACTCATTTTGTTTCTCACATTAGCAAGACAATATGATGTTTACACATATGGGTCTGATTTACTTCACTTACAAGAATGGTATCAAGTTGCATCCAATTTACCTGTAAAAGTCTCAAGTTTATCCTTCTTTGTGACTGAGTAGTAATCCATTATATATAAAATCACATCTTTTTTATCCTTTTCTCAGTTAAAGGGAATTTGGTTTATTTCGAAGATTTAGCTTTTACCAATTGTGCTGCTCAAAACATGGGTGCACGTTTATCACTGTGGTGTGATGATTTCAATTCTTGAAAGATACCCATAAGAGGAATAACTGGATCAAAAGGGATCTCCTACCCTAAATTTGAATGAATCTCCACATTGATTTCACAGTGGCGACACCACCTACACTCCCACTAACAGTGGAGAAGTGTTTCTTTTCCCCACAGCCCTGCCAGCATTTGTTATTGGTTGATTTTTTGATGACAGTCATTCTTTCTAGAGTGACATGCAATCTCAGTGTTGTTTTAATTTGCATCTCTTGAATGAGCAATGATATACTCATATAGTTTGGGTTTCTCATATAAGAGAACTCATGTGATATAAAACCTGTGTCTGGTTCATTTCACTTAGCGTTATGGAGTCTAGGTGCATCAAATTTCCTACAAATGACTCAAATTTATATTTTATGTCTGCTTAGTACTTGCTGTACACCCATGGCTGAGCAGTACTCTGCTGTGATAAATGTGTGAAACCTGTTTATTCTTTATTCATTCACATGATGCCGGGCACGCAGACTTCTGTTTATCGAACCCTGCATCCCTGAACTGAGTGATGGCTGCTTCTTCTTCTGGACCAAGAATTACTGTAGAGGAGAGAAGATTGCCTTGTTGAGTCTATTAGAAATATCTGCTGCCCTCAACCGAGGCATTTCCCAGTGACATCTGGAGGAGTTGCTTAGGGTGTCAGCTAGGCCAGGAAAAAGCAGGGTTACTGGGATGTGAAATGTGCATCTCATGCACCCTGTGGGCACTTACTTCAGAGGCACGTGCTGGGCCTTGGGCTGAGCTACTGCCTGACACCCCTGTCCTGGCCTCCCTTACCCATGTCAAGTCAGGTTTAAAACTCCACATTGAAATACATGCTCCCTTACACAGCCTTGAAATTAGACAGCTAGGAGCCTGGGGAGCCATTTTTTTTTTTTAGTCGCTCTTTAAAAGTTTGAACATAATGGTTCTGTAGTGATATCTTACTATGGTGTTTACTGACATTTTTCTGATGAAATGATGTAAAATATGTACTAGCAACCTTTATCCAGAGTAGTAAGCACCAAACTCTAATCTTGGATGGTAATTCATTCTCTACTGCAACTTCTTATTTCCTCCACTGAAGCATGTGACACGTCCTTGATTAGCAAATGGCACTGCTTTAATTGAACTTCATAAAAGCTGACTCATGACTGCCGCTGGGTCATAGGCTGTACTTTGATGAACCCTGAGGAAGAGCATCTTTTCATGTTCATGGACTTTATTTTGAAAGCCCTGCACAAATATTTTTTTCATCCTAATATTCAATCTTTTATTGAATTTTAAGAGCTTATATATGCCTTTATTCACATCTACATGCTTTCTATATTATTAAATGTTTCTAAGACTTCTGTCCTGAAAAGCCCAAAACATTGCTAAAAGAAATTTTTAAAAATTTAGTAAATGGAAATATGTTATGTTCATGAATGAAAAAACTCAATAGATGTAAACCTCTCAAATTCTGACATAAATTCAATGAGCTGTGAATTAAAACTCTAATTCTTCATATGAA